AAGACCCTTAAATATTAAAAGAATAATTTATTATCAAAGGAAACTAGCATGGGTCATTCAATGGCGTGTCATAGAATTTTGATCAAATTTATCAAAACACTAATCTTAGAAACTTATAAATACACTTGCATTCTCATCATAATTTTAGTTATGGCTATGAATTAAAAAAATAAAAATAAATAAAAGAGCTGAGAACTTATGATATCTCGGCAGCATCTGACAAAAAATAGAAATGCTTATTGTGTTCATTAATTTCCTCAAGTTGGTGGGTAGGTTTCAGGGGGCATTAAATGGATTATAAGATATTGAAACAATGTAACGGCTCTTTTTTCTCCACCTTTGACTAAGCTCTTTCACACTATTTTCTTTTCCTTTGTGGCTCGAACTTGTTAAATTGAATATTTTTAAAATGCATATATTAAAAAAATAATTATAGTACATATATATTAAAATATATAAGGTTTTTGATTCAATATAAATTAAATGTACAAAAATATTCACTATAATTAATTAATTATTATAACTATTTTAAATGTATTGAAATAGAGTAGGCGGCCATGCCCAGTTGCGAAAAAGGCGGGCAATGGAGAGTAGTAGGCGGGATTCAGAACGACGTCTAGAGACCAAATTTATTGCTAGAACTTACTTGCAAAATTGGCTATAAAAAGAGAGAGAGAGAGAGAGAGAGAGAGAGAGAAAGTAAGAGGAGAGAATAAGAAAACTCTTTTGTGTTTTAATGTTGAGACTAGTGGGTTATTATGTGCCTATAGATTTGCTCTCTAAACCTCTATTCCTAAGTGAGAGTAGTAACAATGCTATGATGAAAAAAAATAAATGACATAACATGTCTTGATTATATCGTGTCATAAAAATGAAATATATTAAATATATTTGTTTAATTACATAAGATATGCATTAAGACTTTCTAAATATAAGATGAACCTATATGTAACCACTACTTAGTTTGATTCGATGTGAGTGGCCTATAAGATTGACATATTTTAGCTAATAAAGCTCAACATGAGCAATTCGAGATATACAAAGAGGCGGTGTCACGATGGGAGCCCTAGGCGCATCGACCCCCACTAGTCTTCAATTTTTTTTATTACTTTTTTTTAAGAATGGTCTAGTGCCCATCTTGATAAATCCGTTGCTATATATAAAAAAAAAACCTCATAATTCTTCACATCATTCATGCATGCCTGTCTATAAAGATATTATTATGTGTGGTGTCCGAATACGTCCGAAGGAAAATCTAGACATACCACATCACTGGATGCATTGGGCCCCCGATGATGTGGCACGTCCGAATTCACCTTCAGACGCATCCGGATGCAACACATAATTATATTTCTGATTTCCATTAGCAAAAGTTATCTTGTTTAAATACCTTTTTTTGCAAATTGTTAATTAAAGATTATCATAAAAAAATCATTTGCGCAATCATATGAGATACATTTGAATGAATATTTGATAGATTATTTATATTTTTTAAAAAATAATTAATAATATTGATAATGAAATGATTGTATAACAATTTCAAAATATAAATATTTGAAAATAGATTATATGTGACAGAGCATGAACATTACTTGCATCGTATTATATATTTTTTTTCTTTATTATATAATTTATCTTTTTGTTATATCAATTCAAATAAAAACTTCAAAAAAATCTCATCTCCACCATTGAACATGCAACTTTTCTCCGTCTACATTGCCATAAAATACTACTTATGGGAAGTTACAGGGCAGTACAAACATGATTGAATAATGACTCTGCATGCAACTTATCATGACATATTAGTTGAGAGTTTTGACTACAAACTAAGGAGAAAATATTCTGTGCAGAAGTCAAATCCAGATCGTCATCCGAAGACCAATCAGAATATATCATATCAATAGTATTGAGCCACAATTACTAACAAAGGGATGACATGACATATATTGATTAATCTCCGGATGACGTCCGGCGTCCGCACAAAATAATTAATCCCAACTAAGAGTGTCTTGGGTTTACGCCTTGCTTGTGTGATACATGTGTGAGTTTGATTTAGTTTAGGACAACTTTAGATCCTTATTTTTTCTTGATTTTAAATTTTTTTGTATCAAAAATAATTTTACAAATCAGTATGAAAACTGACCCAAATAAAAATTAGCTAAATAATAATAATAATAATAAAATTCAGCTGGCGACCATTTGGCTACTGCTGTGCCTACTTTATTTGACCTAAAAACTACTCTTTAATTCGAGAGTAGAATCAGTAGTTGGAATTCGAGCATCTTATCTTCTCGTTGACAGGAACAAATCAAGCTCAGCCGCTTTTCCTCTCTGCTCATTCAATGTAAATAATGGTTCATTACTTCATTTACATTATTATCACTATATTTCTAATGTTCGAATTAATAGTTTTATTTACTCATAACATGCTCAAAGTTAGAGGGGAGCCTCTTGATGCATCTTAGAAGTAAAAATAACAAAATAGATTAAAAAAAAAAAATAGAGGGATACAAATATGGGGACTAATTTTTTATTATTTCTTCAACAATGACGAAAAATACAATTGATTTCTAATTTGAGAGATAGACCAGCTAAACCGTAAACCCTAGAGGGGCGAAACCAATCTTAATTTTCAGGGGGGGGCAAAAATGTAGAGATTTTTATTTTTCATATATATCATTTGTGACTAATAATTATTTGTACTTGAATGCATAATACATTTTAAAAATATCATCAATATCTTATATAATGTCAATTATTTTTAGACAAAAATTAGATTACACCTCTACAAAATGTGTCGAGGGTCCAAAGGTACAACGCCCCCTGATGAAATTCAACCTAAAAATAACACCTCAAATGCATTTAATTATGCTTGATGGCAATTGCCTAAAGACCATAGTAATTTAAAACTTTTAGGGGGGCAAATGCCTAAAATCCCTTGTAATAACCCCTTTAAACAATGTGTGTAATTCTTATAGAGGGCAATCGTCTAAAGATCATAATAATTTAATTTTTTTAAGGGAGCAATTGCCTAAAAATTCTTATAATAAAGAGTAAAAATTACCTAAAATTCTACGTAATAAAAAAAATTTTAATTTTTTTAAGGGTTCCGCCCCTGCTAGCATATGCTAGAAAACTCATACAAATCCTAAATATAAACTCAGCAAATATATCATGATAGCCCTAGTCAAAGCTCCACTTTAAATAGACCTCACACACAATAAATATAATTGGAACTTTTCTAAACAATTAAAACCTAAGGCATAATTGAGATAATTTTTTATTTGTGATGAATTTTTCTGGAGTGTATTTTAGATCATTTATAACATAACCTTTGATGAATATATATGATAATTCGTTTTCAAAACAAATCAAACTAATATCCATGCTTGAAACAACAGTGAGAATACAATATGTAGTAAGAAAACCGTCCCAAACGAAACCTTAATAAGCATCTAAACTGAGACAAAACCAACCACATTAACAAACGCACTTCAATAAACCCAGCATTTGATCCTTTTTTCTAACTGAATACAGCTCAATTCAAGCTAGAACATAGTCTTCTGCTTAATTTAGGCATGTTTACAAATAAATATTTACATTTTTGAAGCAATAACGACAGCCAAAAGCAAAATATGTAAGAAAATAGCCAATTATATCATAGTATATTCACTTCAGTTTAGCCCTGACTAGATTGCTAGCATCCCTAAATGGAAACTCACATAAATTAGCAGTCAATAACACACAATATCAGATCATTAACCAGCCCAAACCTTACAAATAATAAAAAAAAAACTTTCCTTTCATAGCATATTGAATAAAATATAGGCTTCGTTTGGGACGACTTTCTTTCTGCTTCTTAAAGCAGCAATTTAGTGTAAAAATTTTAATTTTTGTACTAAACAACTACTTTATGAAGTAGTTAAAAAACTGTCCCAAATGAAGCCTTAAATACTTAGTATTGTCAGCTTTCTCAAATTATGAAGACCAAAAAACTTACATTCTTTGCACGGAAGATCCTACATAAGTTGATGGATTTAAGAAAGAAAATGGTTGAAATCGGCAACTGAATCCCATTCATTCATCATCTGACTATCTGAGGCACATATCATGCAATAGAGAAAGGAATACGAGAGGTAAAAGCCAATAAGTGTAGGGTGGTCTGGGTTGAGGATATTTTACATTTCTTACAGAAGATTGCTCGTTTGCATTAGTCCCGGGTATACAAGTGTTAGAATCTGCCTCAGCGAAGCAAGTGATGATTTGAGATTTTTATGCTGCTTGACAACTGCCAGAAGTTGGAGTAGGAACATTATTGCCAATTAAACGTTGTAAAGCCACAAAAAAAACATTAAAAAAAAAAAGTTGAAGGAAAGAATGTGAAAGTCGTTACCTTGTATCAAGGATTTAAGTTCTTTGGAAACATCCTCAATACGTCCAAGTACAGGCCTGATACCACATGACTGCGTCACACAAAACTCCAAATATAATGATTTCTCCAATATCTGTAACATTAGAAGGCATACACCCTCAGTTTCTACAGGAATAGCTGAACTTTTTGCTTCACACACATCTACAACAACAGCGATTGCTTGGTCCTGCACAATGACTCGCAAGTTAGAAGATTGAAACTTTCGTTCTAGCGACAAAGGCTTCGTTTGGGATGGCTTTTTTATTGCTTCTTAAAGCAGCTTTCTAGTACAACAAATAAAATTTTTATACTAAAAAAATACTTTAAGAAGCAGTAAGAAAGCCGTCCCAAACGAAGCTAAAGACTAGTAGATTAGGTACATTTGATGATGGCTGGCAATAAGAATGCACATCAGCAGTAAACTATAGCATTTAAGGCGTGCCATGACCGTAGAGTATCAAGAACAAATGGTGTGCTCGAGTTCACTGAGAACTCAAAGATAATGCGAGGTTGAGGAAGAAGAGAGTATTTATAACATCATAAACACCAATAAGACACATTAAATACTTATTAAACTTTGTAATACCTATTATAGACCAATGACAACAAAGACCTACAACATCTTGTTAACTCAATAAAAATTCTCAATATATTTATTGACCCTATAATTATCGAACACATAAAAATAAATATTAACCTTGTAGTCGAATCACATGATCAAACAGCATAAATTCATATAAGAAACCTATGCAAAATCTTCAAGTCAAATATCAGGTAAAAATATCTACAAAGTTACAAAACATTGGTGACCATCACACTAGACTTCTAGTCGATGATTCTCAAATTGCATTTGAGGTGGCGAAAATTGAAGGAGCTTTGTGGATTTGAATGTGGATCTCAATATTTTAGATAAAGAAAGAGATCATCAAAGCTTGTAGCGGTAAAATCGACATCACGGATGTAGAAGTCATCAGATTAATTGTTGTTGGAGACTAGATGGGTGCACGACTCGAATGTCAAACTACAGTTTCAACAAGGTTTTGATAGATCTGGCAAAAACTAGAAGCGGAGATCAGTGTAAGAATTGAGTTCAAAGGGTTGGGGTATCTACATATCTAAGCGTAGGTAGATATGGATCTGAGTCAAAGGAGCAACCAATGACGACAGCAGAGAGAGGCCAAGCATTGGGTGCACATGTTTTGACAGAAAGATATGAGCATATGGAGATGATTAGAAAGATTACGGAGGGCTAGTGGAAGGACCTTTTTTGTGTTTTTGCAACACTATCAAGAGTTGTGATGGACAAAAAATGAAGATATATATGTAGGCAAGGAAAAGGGGATTTGGATTTGGATGACATGGAGCTACATGGAGATAGAACATCCATCTCTCCACCACCACCACCACAACAACAATAACATCAAGCCTTTATCTCACTACGTGAGGTGGGCTACATGAATCCTTTTTCTCCATTATATCCTGTTAAGAGTCAACGTCTCATTTACATCTAATAAAGAAAGGTCATTTCTAATATTTTCTAACCCAGCCTTTTTAGGTGTACTTCTACCTTTCTTAACATAGGCAATCTAATACATCTACTCTCCTAACAAGGTTATTGGAAGGCCACCATTTTATACGACCAAACCATCTAAGGAGACTCTCTAATCTTATCTATCACAAGAGCTGCTCCAACATTTTCAAAGATATACTCATTTCGTATCTTGTCTCTAAGGGTAAATCCACTCATCCACCTGAGCATCCTCTTCTCAACAACATCTAATATATGTTTCTCTTTTAATGGCCAACATTTTGCACCATAAAGTATTTTAGGTCTCACCACCATCTTGTAATTTTTTTTCGTTTGATTGGTACTTTTCTATCACACAACAAACGTAAAGCATTCCTCCACTTCAACCATCCCACTTGAATTCTACTAATAATATTCCCATCTATTTCACCATCACTTAGAACAATAGATTCAAGATATCTAAAATGAGTACACTTATTAATGACTTGATCGCTCAAAGGCACAAACCCCCCACTAGATTCTATTACTACTAAAATTACACTCTATGTATTTGGTTTTAGATCTACTCAAATGAAAACAATTAGAATCTAAGGTTGACCTCCATAATTCGAGTTTACCTTCCCCTCTCTAGTCTTATCAACAAAAAGCATACACTAAGGTAAATCCTCTTGCTAATATCTAATAACAACATCCATGACTAAAGCAAAAAGATAAGGGCTTAAGGTTGATCCTTAATGTAATCCACCTCAAATAGGAAAATACTTGGTCAAACCACCTTGTGCTTGAACAAAAGTAACAACTCCTGCATATCCATAATGACTTGAATATAAGCATTATCAAACCCTTTTTTCTAGAATTTCCATAGCACTTCTCTTGAAACTTTATCATATGCTTTCTTCAAATCAATAAATATCATACATAAATCATCTTTATTCTATCTAAACTTCTCCACAACCCTCTCAATAAATGAATAGCTTCCATAGTAGACATACTCGGCATGAATCCAAATTGATTTTGATAAACATTAGTACCACGTCGTAAGGTATGCTCCATAACTCTCACCCAAAGTTTTAAAGTATGACACATCAACTTAATTCCTCTATAATTCGCACAATTTTGTGCATCACATTTATTCTTAAAAATAGGAATCAACACACTCATTCTCCACTTATCTGGCATCTTTTTAGCCTTCAAAATAATATTAAAAAGTTCAATAAGCCAAGAAATTCCTTCATCTCCTAAGCACTTCCACACCTCTATTGGAATATCATCAAATCCAATAGTTTTTTCCACACTTTATTTCTTTAAAGACTCTCTAACTTCAATTTTACTAATACACCCATCTCTCTACCAAAGAGCCACTTACTATAACTAAGAAAGATCGAGGATAAACATCTTGTTCATGTTAGCTAAGAACTCAAAGAAAAATATGAGGTTGAAGAGGAAGAGAGCATTACAACAAAAGAATATTGTTCATGCCCTAACACTCCCAAAAAGAAATATTTATGAGAAAATGTGCGTTGGAGAGGAAGTGGGTATCCCAAAAAATGGTGATAATTTATTTCATTCATACCCTCCTACTCACAAAAAGGAGCATTTATAACATCACGAAAACTCATAAGAAACATTAAATATCTATTAAATATTATAATACGAGTTATAGACTCGTGACTACTAATGTCTACTATCATTATCGACCCTACCAAATCGACCCTACTCTTAAGGTAGAATCACATAATACGATAGGATAAATCCATATAAGAAACTTGTACAAAATTTTCAAGTAATGATTATCACACAAAAATATTGATGATAGTGCAAGAGGTGGGAGCCTATCGAGCCATACTTCCAATTGACAATCTATATGTGATATTTGAGGTTATAACTACTCTTTTAATTGCTCCTTTGTGTCATGCAGTTGTTTTAATGTGATTGAAATAGTTTTAGCAAAGCTTAGAACCTCTTATGCAAAAATTGAACATAAGATAAGCTCTAGTGGTTGTGGACTCCCAAAATTCGCACCCTGACCTCTCCATGGATCCTTTTCTTTTTTGGGTCATAATGGAGAGTTTTAATGAGTAGGTTCCTGGAAAATTTTCAGAAGGCAGGTTAGGTTTTAAATAAGATACTACCCAGAAATTTCACCCACATTTTCTGAGAACTTTATGATATGAGTTCAAGTTTTCTATAGGGCCAAGCCCCTATAGTTAATTACCCTCTCAGTGACGAGAGAGAACTTTTGATTAAGGCAAGTCGTCAAACAGATACATAGTATCTGACATGTAGTAGCAACATGGTACAAGTATTTGATAATTTAATATTTAAAATTAAAAATTTCACCACCTCGTACTTTAAAGCAGATGGTGGAGGAATGATGATAGACCCGATCAAGATCAAATGGTTTCGTCGTCCCGGGTCATCGTGGTCCTTGGCTTAATTAGTCAGAGGTAGTTAACCCAAGCTAACAAAAAGATCCTTTTCGACAGCCATGAGTTGTTTCGTCCAAGGGTACCTTATAGACATGAGGTGAATATTTGTCTAAGGGGATAAATTTGAATCCATCTTAACAAACAAAGGGTTTTCTGCCCTATCGGTCATATCTCATTGATTCATATCTCAAGAATTTGAAGCTATTACAAAACATACAGACTCTGACCATGATTGTATGATGTAGAACGAGAAGGGAAAAAAGGGGACATTTGAGATTTGAATTTCTTGCTTTAATTGAGATCAAAATATTAGGAATAATTAAATAAAATCAAATCCAATTATAAACCTAATTAAATTTAATTTAAGTAACTTTCCTATAATAAGCTATCTTAAATTAGGAAAGTATGTCAAATTCAAAATTACTTAGAATTTGAAATCAAAATTTTCCTAACTTAAATCGTTTGATAAAAAGAAAGTAATCAAAGGGGAATTCAAATTTTGGAGGCAAAGAGGAAGAAGGGGGGAAGGGGCCGGCAACATTAAAAGGGGGAGGAGAGGTTATGGAAAGAGAATTAAAAAAGACTTTGATTGGAACCTTAAATTAGGGAGTAATATTTAAATCACATCCAATTAAATAATTAACTAAACCTAATTCAAATACTTTCCTAAAATAAGAATCCTAATTTTAGAAACAAAATTCAAATTCAAATTAATTTAAATTTTAAATTTCAATTTGTTACTAAGTTAGAAGGGCTAAAATAGAAAAAAGCTTTGAATGTGAAGGGAGATTTGTGGAGCCAAGAGGAAAGAAGATGGTCGGCAGTTTGGTGAGACCGGAAGCTAGGGAGGTTGGGGGGGGGGGGGGGTTAGAGGAGGAGCTACCAAACTCCTCCAGCAAATGCCACCAAAACAGCCAACAAATCTTACCAACGGAACCTGAAGAAAGATATAGGTGGAGTGGAACTTGCGTAGAGAAAAAAGAGGTTAGAAGCCCAGACGAAGGGTGGAGAAGCTCGCAAGCCTTACAAGAGGTAGAAGAAGAAGTGGGCAAAGCTCTCAAGCTTTTCCAAGAAGAACCCGCAGGTTATAGCAACTTTGCTCTCAATAATCACCAACCTTCTTCATCTCAAAATATCTCATATATATAGGCAATAGAGGGGAAACTAAACAGCCCCAAAACCTCTTCAAATCCACACATAAATGAGAGAATGAAAGGCCAACAGTCACTA